GTGCTCACAATGGTGGAAGTAACCACTGGATGGCTGGAAACTTACCCAGCACCCCACGCCACCGCCCGGAACACAATCCTGGGCCTTGAAACCCAAGTCCTGTGGCGACACGGCACCCCAGAGAGAATTGAGTCAGACAACGGGACCCACTTCCGAAAGAACCTCATAAATGCCTGGGCAGAAGAACACGGCATCGAGTGGATCTACCATATCCCCTACCACACACCAGCCTCTGGGAAGATCGAGCTCTACAATGGACTGTTAAAAACCACTCTGAAAGCACTGGGAGGTGGCACCTTCAAAGACTGGGACATGCATCTAGCAAAGGCCACCTGGCTAGTCAACACAAGAGGATCTGCCAGTCGAGCTGGCCCGGCTCAGTCGAAACCTCCACGTGCTGTAGATGGGGATAAAGTCCCTGTGGTGCACATGAGAAATATATTGGGAAAAATGGTCTGGTTTAGTCCTGTGTCAGGCAAAGGTAAAGGCAAACCCATCCACGGGATTGCTTTTGCCCAAGGACCTGGGTGTACCTGGTGGGTGATGCAGGACAATGGAGAGGTCCGATGCGTACCACAGGGGGACTTGATTCTGGGTGAGAACATGCCGTGAATTATGCTGTGTCTTTGTAACTTGTTATTTTGTCATTGTTAACTGCTAAATGGCAGCTGGACATGACGCAGATGGTATAGAATAAAAGGGTGGATTGTGTCCTGGTTCAGCTAGGATAGGGTTAAGTTTCCCCAGCAGAGAGGGGGAAGGGATCTCCAGCTGGGTTATTCATACCATGCTGAGGTCAGGTCCGGCGCAGCAGCGCGGAAAGGTTTCCTTTGTGTCTTTGGTTACGGGAACCACACGAGGCAGGCTAGCTGTGTTCACTGCTGTATTTCTCTGTATATCTTTTGTCTTGTTTACTGTTTATTGTTGTTGTTCAGAATGTTTATTACACTGTTGTATTAAATTTCTCCTTATTTTAACGCCGGACTTTGTGCCCTACTCAGTCCGAGGGTGGGGAAGGGACAATGGCAATGTGGTCTCCGGTCCCGGCAGGGCCCAAACTAAACTATCACATAATAGCACTTTACGAGATGGAAATGCTGACATATAATTCATATTACAACCAAAATGTAAATGATTACAAGAAGAAAAAAAATTACTCCAACAGTTCATTATGACTCAGGTTCGAGACTGAAAAAAAAAACCCCAAAACTTCAATAAAATATTTCCAGAAAACAGTGGCTTTTTGGAAAAAATATTTCTATTAACATTCATGTGTATTTCTATTAGTCACAAGATGGAAGTCAAGCACTGCCACTGAAGATTGAACTATAGGCCAGTACAAGGGAAAAATTTATATTAATATAGGCAAGTGGATTGGAATGAACTGTCTTATTTTATGAAAATTAACGGATAATTAATAGATAATTAACCACAAAGGGAGACAAGCCAAAATAATGTTGCATAATAGACAGGAAGGAGAGTTATCTAGGGTAATCTTACTTGAATAAGGTAGAGCTGGTGCTACTGGCATATCTAGCTGGGAAAAAAATCTGCATGAGGAATAGTAATTTTAATTTTTAGGCTTACAAACCACCATATATGGAATTAATTTGAATTTTTGTGTAGGGATTTTTTTCAGATAAACTGCGATGGTTTTCTGTAAGTTGCCATCCTCTAGCATGTCCTTGATTTTTAAGAAAAAAGTGATCATACAAAAAACTGGGATCTAAAAAGCTTTTAAGAGTTACATCACAAAAACTTCAGAATGCATTGAACACTAGAAGAGTATTTGAAACCACTAGAATAATTGAAATGCAAATTGCTACATAAATTGTCTCAAACACATCTATGTATATTTTATGTCACATTCTTTTTCTGATTTTGAAACATTCATTACTATAATTTTTACTTCAATATATACTAGAAAATATACAATGTGACTGAATTAGCATTACTTTGAGAAGAAATTCCTAATTTTTTAATATTTATTACAACCTAGATGACTGCACTGTCTATGTGTTCAGGGACTATTTCATCCAGAAATATTCTAAAAGTACATGTATTAAACTAGAATTACAGTGGTGATCATTGCAGCCGTATCATGATCCTAAAATCACCTTTAAACAGATACAGGCCATTTAATTTTTTGAACTATAAGTTATGTCAATGAATGTATTCTGCTGCAGGTATTTTTGCCAGTGGAGTAACAGAATTTCTTCTGATTGTGTCACTGTAATTAAAACTGGTAAAACTTTCCAGCATAAACCTTAGATTAGCTGTACTCGTGAAATGCTGGGGTTTCAACCCCAAGCCCCAAATTAAGGTTGACATAGGGGTGATTCCCACAGCCCTTCACAAAGGGGGGGTGAGTTTGCCTTTGGGCTTCCCTCCAGGGTGCGGCCAGCTTGGCAGACAGAGCCATTGGGTGAGTGAGCCCCAGGTGTCCCACATTAAGTAAGCAAAGGTCAGGTGTCCCACTTAGGGATACAAGCTGGGACCACTTGCAGGCAGGGGCGGTGTCTGTCTGTGAGGTGGATGCACTTTGCAGAGTTCCCTGTTGGGGAAGGACCTCCTGCCTCCCTGGGGCTGGGCTCCAGTCAGGTCTGGCTTTTGTAAATGTGGGCTGTGTAGAGATTCAGTATGTGGCTTCCTTGGTCTTATGTGTTTGGCTTGTTGACTTGGTTGTCTCCTGTCCCTTCTATGAGAGACTGAATGTCATCATTTATTCCACCCATTGTTGGTTGTGTGGTGTCATTGTTGGGGTCAGTGAGATTGATGTCGATTATGTATAATCTGACTTGTTTGTACCCCCAGTGCTCACCCATGTACTGACCCTTTTGTATCAAATACAATTTGGTTATTGGTTCATCTTTATGCTGGTTGTGTCCTTTATGCTAGGCCTAATAACTGGCAAAATAACTGATCAACCTTTAAAAAAAACCTGCATGATGTTAGTAAAAACTTCTCCTTAAATAATTTACTGGGTCAACCTTCCAAGAAACTTATACTGGTAATAGAAAGGGAAGACAAATGCTGATTATATGACAATGTGGTCTCCAATACAAAACCAGCTTCCTATTTGTTGGTCTCTACTACCACCCATTTTCATGGGCCAGGTGCCGTCATTTTATTCATAAATAATATTGTTGTAAAACATCAAGAAGCACTTGGATAAGGTGGAAATGCATTCATTAATAGTACTTCACAAACACATTTGTAAATCCTTATAATGACATGCTGTTATAATTTATATAATGCAATGAGCAAAGGCGATTTCCTGCAAATTACTGTACTGGGCATAAAATGCAAGGTTTTGGTAGCAGAGGCGATTTCTGAGGGATGAGGCCATATGCTGACCTTTGCTGGACACAAGCGGTTTCACCCAGCTCACAATGAACCCACCACAGGACACAGCTGATCCTATTGGCCAAACTGGTGGTGCCTCTGTGAAAGTAGACTTTAGAAAGCACAGAAAATGCCACAGGGAGAGATGAACAGGGAACAAAAAGACTGAGGAGCAAAAGAGGGACCACCAAGGCCTGCGGAGTAGAATGGCAGAGCAGGCGCTGCCACTCTGAAGGGACTTTAATTATTTCTCTTTACTACTTCTTCCTTCTTGCTCTTGTGGGGCATATGGAGGACCTACACTGGAGCAGGTACGCCCCAGGAAGGACTGCAGCCAGTGGATAGAGCCACACCAGAGCAGATATTTCCCTGAAGGAACTGTGGCCCTTGGAGGAGCTATGCTTGAGCAGCTACACCCCTGAAGGTACTGCAGCTTGTGGAGGACCCATGCTAAAGCACAAGAAAAGAGCAAGAAGGAAGGAGTGGCAGAGAGAAATAACTTTAACCCTGCCCTGTGCCACTCATATCTCACTATAGGGATTGAGTGTAATTTGCAGCAATAACAAGGGAGAAGAGGTGCTTGGAGTGAAGTTGAGTTTCAGAAAGGGGGAGGAGAGGTGTTTTCCTTAAGTATATAAATGTTTGCTTCCTTTTTTTGGTTTTGTTTCTTGATACTCAAATTGATCCTCAAATATTTATATCAATTGACAATAAATTGAATTTAATTCCCAAACTGAGTCTATTCTGTCTGTTCTTCCTATTGTCTTCCCCCACCACCAGGGGTGGTGGGGAGCAGAATTTGAGAGTGAGCAAGGCAGCTCAGTGGGTGCTAGCTAGGGCCAACCCACAACAGTTATGTTCCTAGTCCACCCCTCCTAAATCAGGTAGACAAAAGTAACCAGTAGCTCGGTAGAAGAACTAGGAAATGTTCTAATATAATTAGTGCTTCACAATAACAGAAATTCAGGTGAATTAACCCAATGCTTACCTAAAAGAAATGAGTGACTGCTAAACTTTTTTTTCTACCTGAGTAAAGATACTGACCTTCAGTTCATATCTTCATAGTGTTCTTGCAGAAATCAATACTGCAATTTAATCTAGAACCAGCAAAATTAGGTTTGTTGACAGAACACATGCTATTCATAATTGTTTGTTCATAATTTTTGACTCTGCTTTTGAATATTGCTCTCTTCTGAGACATGGCCACAAAGCAATATGACCACAACAGAGTTTTATCAACTCTTGTAAAATTTACCACCTCAGTTTAAACATACTTCCTTATGTCAGAAGAGATGATGGAGAATATAGAATAAAGCAATGGTAAATGTGGGTTATTATTGTGCACTCCTCTTTGTACCAAACCAATTTTTTTTTGTGCTGCACAAGAATAACACGGACATTCATCTTCATCCTAGCATACTGAACATCTTTCTATAGACTCCTTTAATAGAGTACAAAGGATGAAATTCTTTCCTTTCAACATTAGCCATTGAAAAGACAAAAATTTAGTTGAAACCAGTCACCTAGGCTGCCTCTCTGTCAGGCAGACTGGTGGCGCTCTGCAGGATAATTCAGTGTATTTTAAGAATATGTCGACTATAATTTGGAAGAATAACAGTTTGTAAAGTTTTGAATGGTTGAGGTTGGAAGGGATGTCTAGAGGGTCTCTGGTCCAACCCTCCTTCTCAAGCAGGGACATGTAGAGCTGGTTGTCCAGGGCCATGTCCAGATGGGGTTTGAGTATCTCCAAGAACACACAGACAGGATTCGCAGATTAACAAACACAGTTCAAATTATAATCTGGCCTCAATCCATCACTTTAACAACAGAAACACTTACAGTTTATTAGAAATTGTGGGCAGATCATGGATGATCTCTTCGTATGGCTCTTCTTGAGATAAAGTAGAAACAGCTAAAGGGTCTTTCATTTTTTCCTCCCAAACAATTTCAGCCTTCAGAAGCATTTCCTCAATAAACTCAGAAGCTGCAACATCTAAGACATAAGAACACCAAGATATCAGACAAAGAAAACAGTGCAGAAAAGCTCCTTTAAATTCAAATCTTTAGATCAGATTAAGATTAAAATGAAGCATCTGGTTGGGAAAAATGTAAATAATTGCTCAGATATTGATCACAAAATAATACTTGAAATTACTGTGAAAACAATAGTAAAATAAATTCAGTATGGAATTAAGCTGTCATTTGCAAAACCTCGAAACCATTCTCACTGTGTAGCAAACCAAAGTATTATTCACTAATTTATAGGACTTCAGGAGAACCAATATAACTGTTTTCAAGTCTGTATTTCAATGAAAACACGTACTTAAATCTTTTTCAAACCTTCTACGTTTCTATAAACTAGATTTATACGTTCTGCACATACAGAAATGCTGAAATGAGTTCTGTTTGCAGACCAGCCGTACAGTTAACTCGACCGTGTTAAATGTGTATTAAATGTGGTTAGCTAGATGTATTGTTAGATGATCCCAGTTTGGCCCATAGCCTTTTATACAGATACAAACTGGCATGCATCTAACCACAAACAACTTTTCTAAGGTAAAGTGTCATGAAGTTCCCTGTGAAAGTATTTTTAGGTGGTACATTATTTGAAGCATAACATATCTTGCTTTATTATGTGAAGGAGGTTTCTCCTCATAATCTGACAGAAAGATTCCATTTTCTACATTACTGGGTTCCTTCTTCATTTTATCCTAGGCATATAAGGTTGAACAATCATATGTTTCTTATTTTCAACACTGCTATCTAGCATTACTGACATTAGCTCTGCTTTGATCACTGGGTTAGACCAGTTGATCTGAAGTCCCTTCCAAGATAATACAGTCTATAATTCTATTATCTTTAGAGCCAGCTCCCCATTGTTGTCTGTTTAAGAAGGTACTTTCTTCTGTGGAAAACAACAAGCATTACACTTCAAAACTTGATGGTGATTTTGTTTTTAGTGAACAGATATAGAGATTCAAGTTCATGAGGCTATGTACTATCAGTTGGGTCAGAGAAAGGAACTCAGTAAGAAGTCATTCAAGGAAGTGTAAATGCAGCTACCACCAAGATATTGAAGAATTTACAAGGAAGAAACATAATTAAAAATAAACATGGAATGCAACAAGTGGAAGAACATGCTATCATTTGATATGACATCTCGTATGATCATGACTAGCAGTTCTCAGCAATATATGAAAAAGCATATACATGTATGCGTATATAACATACACGTGTATGCGTATATAACTCTACACATATAAACTCTATACTATATAAATTATACCTGTACACATATGTGTGCCCCTGTGCATATAACTAAGAAAGCAAGAAGAAAAGAAAATATTGTCACAGTAACTAGTACATACATAATATACATGCTTTTTCACCTACCTGAAGGCTTTTCATTATTGCAGTTAAGAAGATTGGGATTTGCCCAGTGCATCAAAAGCAGCTTCACAAGGTTGGTCTAAAATGGACAAAACCAGAGGTGTTTGAAATGGCAGAAGTAGGACAGGAGCAGTATGCCTGTCATTCAGTTTATCCATCCCTTCCTGCACTAGCTGAAATCGTATGATAAACCAGAGGCAACACCTCCAAAATCCCACCTTCTGCAGGTACTACATACATCTGTATAAATTACAAGAGGCAGAATAAAATACAGGTCTTGTATAATTTCAGTGTACCCTCAGCATAACTCCACTCCCAAAGTGTCCTTCCAACCTTACATGTGTAAACAAATCCGCACCAATAAGGAAAAATCTAACCCTCCTTCACCACTTGTCATGACTTAGATCACAAATATTTCTTTACGCCTAATTCAAACATTGTGTACCATCACTGCCAAAGGGGTCTGACTCACAGCTATCATGAAAGTAAATCTGTTCTCTGTCAGTAGTAGAAACCGGCATATTTATCTTATGTTTACCAAATCCATTTAACTCATTAGTAATGGTGGTAATTATAGTAGAGTATTATATAATGAAAAAGTCTAAAACATATTTTCCAATTCCTGCAAGAATGATGCAAGCAACGGTTTTTAGCAAACACTTCTATTGCTGCACCAAAGTCTCTAGAGGCATTTCTCCATCAAAATCTGTAGTAATGTCTACCCTGATAAATTGGTTAGTCAGAAAGGAGTTAGAAACTGCACAAGGAGCAAAAAATACATTTATAACGTGAATATAGAGCTCAACTAAATGAGGGAAATGTTTGCAGTTTTGGATATATCCTAAAGCAAGTAGAATTTTTAATATAAATGTAACCAACAAGGGAGGCCAGGATGAGTTTAGGTGAGAATAAACTGTGCAGAAAAGAAAGGATTATTCAGAGCAGAAGAAGAGAGCAGCTAAGGGAAAGGATAATAATTTGGCATAAAAACAACAAATAAATAAATAAATAAATAAATAAATAAATGATAAACAGGAAAGAAATCATTGCAATACAAATAATAAAATTCAGTATGTTTTCAGTACACAGGAGGCAATTTGCTACAAAAGACCATGATAACGAGAAATCAGTTAAATGCAAAAAAATCCCCAAGCTCCTAATCATAGAAAAAAACAGGAAAATATTGTGCAAATTGCTATAAAAATAAAAAGATCTTGCTTTCCTCAGCTTTCTAATACTGGCTTTCCATTCTGGCAATAACAACAGAAAATTCAGCAAACTGTGGAAGCAAGGAGGAAGCCATAACAGGTTTATTTCCAAATCCAATTAGCCTTGCTTTCAACTGAGAACTCTCAACACATATATCTCTGTATTTTTTCATTATGAAAAAATGGAACATGCTTAGTCAATGAGCTGACTAAATCATCAGCGGTTGCACAATCTTGTTAACAGCCATTCTGAAAAGTGGTTGTAGCAAAGGAGGGGGGTGTTAAATGCACTTTCAGTTTAGTAACAATACACAGCTTTTTGGGTTACCCAAGTTTTGGATTTATGCCAGAAGAAATCCCATGCTCCAATATTAATGCTTCCTGCTACCAATGAAATATCTCCAGCTGGGAATCTTTGGTGCATGTCACCAAAACTAAGATATTCAGGTCACTGGCAATTTCAATTACCTGCTTTTGGATACGCAAAACTCTCCGTGTTAGTTTTAACCTCATTCACTTATGTTTTACAAGGAGTATTTTAAAATCCAATTGCCATATCTTCAGAACTGTGCCTAACAGAAATATTTGTAGAATAATTACAGCAAATTATCACTATCTAAAGGGATTTCGATTGCATAGTTACAAGTAAAGTAGATATGACTATGTTAAGAGAAAATGTAATACCTAATGAAATACTGTAGACCCTACAAATAAAATGTCTATATATAGATCTCCCTATTTTCCTGTGTTGACTTTGACAATTCATATACATTTAAAAAAATAGACAATGTGATGACTATGCAGGAAACTACTAGTAATGGCAATTATTTAAAACATCTGCTTACAAAATATCACTTGTTTTGTTTCTACTCATGCCCTTAATTATTTATTCAGTGCCTTTTGATGGGACACCAGGAAACCTCTTATCTCCAAATACCCATCTTCACAAACCACAAGCTTAGTTACCTTTTCTGTACAAATAAAGCATGGTGCTCTCTCTATTCTCAGTATTCTGATCAAGTTACAATTTTTCTGCCTCTCTCTGACAACTCTTACTGGATGTCTCACCCTTTGTTGAGAAGGTTTCTGCAAGGAATATTTTCCTGTCTCATCCCTTTAATTTGAAAGTCCTACCTTTTAGATTCCTTCTTTTCTCACTAAGTCAGAAACGTCTTGGTCTTATTTTCAAAGGCCTTCATACACCCTCCATGCTTTACCTAGTCTCATTAATTGAACATTTAATCTCCATTGTTCACCTCACATCAGTCTGTGAGGCCATGACAACTAGTAAGGAAGTCTTCAAAATATCTGCACAGCTACATTGTAAACATCCATTCACATTCTGTTCTGATGTGATGCTTCTCAAGCAGAGAAATCAGTAATGTGCTGCCATTCCACCATTCAGGTGGATTGAAAAATGGCTTAATGGCCAGGCCCAGAGGGTGGTAATCAGTGGCAAGAAGTCTAGGAAGAGACCAGTAACTAGCAGTGTACAACATCTTTGTTAATGATCTGGATGATGTGGCAGAGTCCACTCTCAGCAAGTTTGCAGATGACACCAAACTGGGAGGAGTGGCTGATAGGCCAACAGCTCATGCTGCCATTCAGAGGAATCTTGACAGGCTGGACAAATGGGCTGATGGGTACCTAATGAAGTTTAACAAGGGGAAGTGTAAATTTCTGTACCTAGGGAAGAACAACCGCAGGCACCAGTACATGCTGAGGGCCGCCTGGTTGGAAAGGAACATTTCAGAAAAGGACATGGGGGTTCTGGTAGACACCAAGTTGAACATGAGCCAGCAAAGCGCTTTGGCTGAAAAGAAGGTTAATGGTATCCTGAGCTGCACTGGGAGGTGGTCCTTCCTCTCTACTTAGCACTGGTGAGGCTACACCTGGACTACTGTATCCAGTTCTAGATTCCTCAATACAAAAGAGACATTGAGAGAGGCCAGCAAAAGACCACAAAAATGATTAAGAGACTGGAGCACCTCACATATGAGGAAAGGCTGAGAGTGCTTGAATTCTTCAACCTGGAGAAGAAAAGGCTCAGAGGGATCTCATCCATGTGGGTAAATATCTAAAAGGAGGGTGCGAAGAGGACAGAGTGAAGCTTCTTTCAGTGGCGCCCAGTGACATGACAGGAGGCAATGGGCACAAACTGAAACACAGGAGGTTCCATATGAACATCAGGAAACACTATTTCACTGTGATGGTGACTTAGCACTGCCACAGGTTGCCCAGGTAGATGTGGAGTCTCCATCCTTGGAGACATCCAAAAGCTGTCTGGACATGGTCCTGGGCAGCTTACTCTAGGTGGCCCTGCTTGACCAGAAGGACTGTACTAGATGACCTCCAGAGGTCTCTCCCGACCTCAAACATTCTGCGATTCTATGTAATGTAGCAAAGGTCGCTATGATTTTTCCAGAATAGATCATTTTTTCTCCATCAGAATCAATCTGTCAGTAAACTTTTAACAGTTTCTGTATTTATGGACATGGGAAATTCTTAATGAAAATATATAAAGGAAGATTATACTAATTACAAGTTTACATAGGTAAGATTAAATAAAAAGGGGCTTTGTGCATGTAGAAAGCCTGAGCTTGATAAACAAGGCAGAATGAATGATCACATGTGTAGGAAGACCATCACAGCTACACCAAAAGAGCTATGGGTTTTCTTCCAAAATAACAGGTAGGAAAAAATGCAGCCTGATCCTGTGAATTTGAGCTTTAAACCTCAAAGGAAATACTACAAGGAAATTAAGTACAACTCACATTAATGGTATCAACACTTATGATCTTAGTAGTTAGAAAAACATACATAGGTGAACAGAGAAAATGCTGACTGAACAGGGGCCCACAGGAGTTGAACAGCTCTTTAAACCTAGAGAAACATGGAGTGCAACACTGAAAATAAAAAGCTATAAGGGGACAAAAGGCAGCATAAATAAATTTACTGCAATAGGTACATTATAAAGGCTTCAAATACAATTTCCCCATGGCAAAAAAGGGAAAAAGTTTTACCACACATTAAATGTTAACTAAGAAATCCCAATGCTCAGTTTCATAAACCAGAAAATTAGGAGTACCAGTGTTGGACAGCTGACAGACTGTGAGGCCTGTTGTCACAGCATAGTGACAGCGTAGGAAATATGGGGCATGAAAGAGTGATAGAGATTCCTCAAGAATCTCCTTAACGCACTTGAGGCTGCAAAGGCAGCTCCAAACAGCTTTCAAGCCATGTTAGTTTTACTGCTAGTCACAGCTGGGGAGAAGAATCAGTGCTCCTGAAAAGTGTCTTCCTCTCCTCTCTGGTCAGATATTTTCCTCTGAAGCTATGCACAGGATGCCAGACGTGTGTCAGCAGCTGGAAAGGATAAGCTGCTGGCTCTGGCTGAGCTTTGAACTCTTATTATCTAAGCCCCAGTGCCACTACCTCAGATCATTTATTCCCTTTTCTTTACCATTGGAGAGATAGCTGCTTAGATTGTAAATGCAGAAACCTGAAGGTTTTATGCAAATGTCCTGATGTGATATTTTGCACTGCAATGAATATGCATCATCTAATTTGCATGCATCACTACCAGTAAATTTCTTCAGTCTTTCACTTTTCTTCCCTGTCAAAAACCAACATTTCTCTTCACTCCTCTCTTTCTGTTTAAACATTCAACATTTCCTACCACCCTTAGTGACCTGGTTCACCATCAACCTTTTGTTTGCATCCCCCCACTACACCCAGTTTCTTATTCCTCAGGTCATTTTTCTCTGTTCCCTGTATTTGAGACTTCCAACTCCCTACATCTACATCCCCAACTTGTTTTCTTTTACCCTTTATTGGTGTTTTTTGGGAAAATGTTATTTTTCTTTTCCTT